ACGGCCTGTCAGTCATAGTTCCTGACAGGGCAGTGGCTGGAGCAGGCAGCCTGCCTGGAGGAATGAGCAAGTGACCTGGCCAGGCGAGGTGTGAGCTGTGAGCTCAGGGGCAAAAGCAGAGCATCCAGAGTAGGGAGGCACATGGCACCTGAGTGGTCATTGCTGTGGCGAGCCCCACTGCTGCTGTTCTCACCTCAAGGAAGAGATGTGGCACTCGCACAGCAATGTGGCGCCCGTCTGCGGTGCCCGGTGAGAAGCCGGGTGGAGCCCGTCTGCGGAACCTCGAGCTACTGGCCTGCCTGAGGCCGGCGTTCAGGTTCTGTGCAGTGTTTTGGAGAGAAATGAGATTTGCTGCTGCTTCCTTCACCTGCGGAGGGCACGGCCTCAGACAGTTTCGTTGACAGTCCTGACTGCACAGTGGTCCAGGGCGCTGAGCCCAGCCCCAGTCTTGACCACGGCCTGTCAGTCATGGTTCCTGACAGGGCAGTGGCTGGAGCAGACGCTGCCTGGAGGGAATGAGCACGTGACCTGGCCAGGCCGGGGTGTGAGCTGTGAGCTCAGGGGCAGCAAGAGCATCAGAAATGGGGGGGCACATGGCACCTGAGTGGTCATTGCTGTGGCGAGCCCCCACTGCTGCTGTTCTCACACTCAGGGAAGAGATGTGGCACTCGCACGACCTTTGCCATGGAGAGTGCCACACCGTTGCTGTTTTTGGTGCCCAGGGAGGGGCCGTGGCACTCATGTGGCCTTTGCTATGGTGAGTCCTCACACTGCCACTGTTCTTAATGCTCAGGGAAGGACGTGGCACTTGTGGCCTTTGCCGTGGTGAGCACCCACGCCGTTGCTGTTCTCTGTGCTCAGGGGTGGGGACGTGGCACCTGTGTGGCCCTGGCTGTGGTGAGTCCCCACACTGTCGCTGTTGTCAGTTCTCAGGGAGGGAACGTGGCACTCATGTGGCCTTCACTGTGGTGAGTCCCCGGATGTGGCTGCTGTTCTGACCACTCACGGCACTGCCCCCACGTGGTCCTAAGGGTGGTCCTGGATGAGGCGTGTCACCCCCGTTCTACAGGAGCAGCTGAGGTTCTGGCAGGTCACATGGGCACCAGCCAACTCACCAGGACCCTGGAAAGGAGGCGGGACAGGTGTCCGTGTCCTGAGCCCCATTGTTTTGTAGAAACAGGGTCTCTGTTGCGCAGGCTGATCTTGAGCCCCTGGCCTCAATCTTCCCACGTCAGCCTCCCGCGTAGCCGGGACAGACACCACCACCACCACGGTCAGCCTCCTGCATAGCCGCGGGACAGACACACACCGTCAGCCTCCCGAGTAGCCGGGACAGACACCCACGTCAGCCTCCCGCGTAGCCGGGACAGACACCACCACCACCACGTCAGCCTCCTGCGTAGCCGGGACAGACACACACACCGTCAGCCTCCCGAGTAGCCGGGACAGACACACACCACACCATCAGACTCCCGCGTAGCTGGGAGAGACACCACCACCACGTCAGCCTCCCGCGTAGCCGGGACAGACACACACCACCACACCAGTTAATTTTTAAAGTTTTTGGTAGAGATGGGGTCTTGCTATATTGCCCAGGCAGGTCTCAAACTCTCGGCCTCAAGCAAGCCTCCTGCCTCAGCCTCCCAAAGTGCTGGGATTTCAGGCGTGAGCCGCCACACTTGGGCACTGGGCCCCATTTAACAGGTGGGAAAACTGAGGAGAGGGAGGTGCAGACGCCTCAGAGACACCTGACCGCAGGAAGCCAAGCGCACTGCCCTGAGGTTGCATCAGAGGCCATTGACTGTTTCTGTGTCTGTGCCGGAGTCGGGCTCTGTCTCCCTCCTGCCTGGGGCCGGTGCCAGCTCCTCCCTTGTGCCCAAAGTGACGTCCCGTGGATGGTGGGAGCCTCTGCTTTCTAGTCCGCACTCCCGGCCATGCTCCTGGCCTTCCTGGAGGATTCAGTGTCCTCAGGTCGCATCCACGGCACCCCCAGGCCCTCCCCGAAGCCCGCTGTCCTCGCGCTGACCCTCCCTCCCAGCCAGCCGCCACCGGAGACCTCGGTTCCTCTGGGGCAGTTCTTCCTGTCTGAAGGGACTGTCTTGAGCTCTCTTCCACCAAAGCTACAAACCCATCTGCAGGCGGCTCCTCCGTCCCACCATCCCCTGCAGGGCTAGGCCCTCCCCGAGTTCCACGCCCTCAGCACACGCGTGTGCCCCCCAGCCACGCGGAGGAACCGTGAGGTCCCTGGAGAGTCTCCGTCGTCCCGGGCTGGCTGGGTTCGGTCTTCCCTCCACGCCATTCCTTCTCTGGCCGTCCCCCTGCTCCATATCCCACCTCACTCCGTCAAATACCTTTCAGATCCTCAGATATTTCTTGGATTTTTCCATTTTTCCGCCTTTATCTTCAACCAAACGGCCACTGTCTCCTGCAGCTGCCGCAGCCCCAGCCTCCCCCACCTCCAGCGTCCACCGTTGGTTCCGGGGCAGCAACAGCAGCCGGGACAGCATCTGCACCGGCCCCTCAGCCCTGCTGCCCCGCACCGGCCGCCCTTACCTTCCCTGGGACCCCCGAGACCTGCTGGCTCACCGGCCCCCATCCCACCTTTGCACCCTCCCGTCGCTGTGATGCGTCAGTCCTGGCCCCCTCAGCCCTGCACAGGTGCTCACTGTCTCCTTCAGGGACTGCGCTTGCTCTGCCTCTCCTGGGTCGTGCCATCTCCTGTGGGGCCAGGGCCAGCCCTGCCCCTCGCTCCGAAGGCAGCTCAAATGTTAGCTCCCCAGGGAGGCTGATCCTGAACCGTGCCCAGGGCCCCGTCCCACTTCCCTCTTCACCTTTGCACACGAGCGCTCGCATGCCACCCCACCACGTTCCATTTACATCTCTCACGGCAGGGACGCCCGGCTCCTGTTCACGCCTGTGACGTTAGCGTGTGGCCAGTGCCTGGTGTGGCCCCGTGAGGCCCCTCGCACTGGACAGTCCCCCGTGTGGCCAGGACCTGGCCAGTCCACACCGTGTGATGACCCCCCGTCTCGGGCGGCCTGGAGGCCCTCGCTGTGGCCAGCTTAGCTCCCGGGGCGCCCCAGGCCGAGGCCAACCCCTTCCCTGCTGTGGGAAGCCCCCAGGAGCCGCCTTCCTTCTCCAGCAGCAAAAAGAAAATCCCAAAGTGGTTGAAGGAGGGTCTTATTGGGAGTTCTTGAGCCTCCTGGACTGGTGAGGTGGCCAAAGCTGGAGGAGGCTTCTGGAGGCTTCCACACCCCCAGCGAGTCCTTGCAGAGCTGCAGGAGCTGCCTCCAGTGAGACAGGTGCTTTCAACCCCGGGTCTCCCCAGAGTCACCCTGCTGGGGTTCCTTGCAGCTCCCCAGAAACGTGGCGGGAGTCGCCACTCCCCGTTCTTAGGCAGGTGCGGGGGGTGCAGGTGTGTGTGGGTGTCTGCGGGGGTGTGAGTGGCTGTGTGGTTGTGCAGGTGTATGTAGGGGTGTGTGGGGGTGTCTGGGGGGGTGTGAAAGTATGTCGGTGTTTGTTGGTGTGCAGGTGTGCGCAGGTGTGAGTGGGTGTGTGAGGTGTTGCAGGCAGGTAAGCACACCCGGCCGTCCCTTCTAGAGATTAGGCCCTTGTGTCTGTGGGTGTGTAGGTGTGTGGTGTGTAGTGTACGGGTGTGGTGTGTGGTGTGTGTGGGTGTGTACATGGCTGTGTCTGTGGGTGTGTATGTGTGTGTGGTGTGTAGTGTACGGGTGTGGTGTGTGTACCTGGGTGTGAGCGTGTACATGGCTGTGTGTGTGGGTGTGTGAGTGTGTGTAGGTGTGTGGTGTGTAGTGTACGGGTGTGGTGTGTGGTGTGGGTGGGTGTGTACATGGCTGTGTGTGGGGGTGTGTACATGTGTGTGTGTACGTGTGTGTCCAGGTAAGCACAGCTGGCCGTCCCTTCTGGGGTCAGGCCCTGTGTCTGTGGGTGCGTATGTGTGTGTAGGTAAAGCACACAGCTGCACGCCTCCCTTCTGGCCAGGCCCTGTGTCTGTGTGGGTGCGTATGTGTGTGTGGTGTGTGTAGTGTACGGGTGTGGTGTGTGGTGTGTGTGGGTGCTGCACATGGCTGTGTGTGGGGTGTGTATGTGAGGGTGTGTACTGTGTGTGTGTAGTGTACGGTGTGGTGTGTGTACCTGGGTGTGAGCGTGTAAGCATGGCTGTGTGTGTGGTGTGTGTAGGTGTGTGGTGTAGTGCACGGGTGTGTGTGGTGTGTGTGGGTGTGTACATGGCTGTGTGTGTGAGTGTGTGGGTGTAGGTGTGTGTGTGTGTAGTGTACGGGTGTGGTGTGTGGTGTGTGGGTGTGTACATGGCTGTGTGTGTGAGTGTGTGTGAGGTGTGTGGTGTGTAGTGCACGGGGTGTGGTGTATGGTGTGTGTGGTGTGTACATGGCTGTGTCTGTGGTAGGTGTGTGGTGTGTGTAGTGTATGGTGTGGTGTGTGGTGTGTGGGTGTGTACATACAAAGCGTAAAGTATGGTGTGTGGTGTGTGTGGGTGTGTACATGGCTGTGTGTGTGAGTGTGTGTAGGTGTGTGGTGTGTAGTGTACGGGTGTGGTGTGTGGTGTGTGGGTGTGTACATGGCTGTGCGTGTGGGTGTGTATGTGTGTGTGGTGTGTAGTGTACGGGTGTGGTGTGTGTACCTGGGTGTGAGCGTGTACATGGCTGTGTGTGTGTATACGTGTATATCCAGGTAAGCACAGCCGGCCGTCCCTTCTGGGGTCGGGCCCTCGATTCTGTGGTCAGCAAGGAGAGATCTGCCCCAGTGCTTAACCCTGAGTGTCAGGCAGGGAATCCATCAGCCAGGTGAGAGCTTCACTGCAGAGAACTGCAGCTTCCCAGGCGGGGTGGGACGCCCGGACCAGGCCCGGAGGACCTGGCTGGCCTGTGTGTGCGGACGGCAGCCAAGAGCCCTCGTCCACCCAGGAGAAGAAGGGGCGTGCGGCCAGAGAGTGACGCTGTTTCTCTCCCTCCTTCCTGCAGCCATGAAGTCGGGGGGCACGCAGCTGAAGCTCATCATGACTTTCCAGAATTACGGGCAGGCGCTGTTCAAACCCATGAAGTAAGTGCCGAGGCCCGTGGGCCGGGCTTCTGCTGGGGGGGCCGTGTCTTCTCCCAGGGTGTTTTGGGGAGACCGTGGGTGACCACTCTCCACCCTCCCCATCGTGGCAAACGAGAAACAGAGGTGGCCTCATTTTCTCTGCTCTCCCACGGCCTCCCCACCTCATCCCTCTTTATAGGACCGAAAACCTACTGCTGGTGTTTCTTACCTGGTGAGAATGAGCGTTTGTATTTTAAACAAGTTACCTGGAATGTGAACACCAAAGAATGCCTCTCTGAACGGGGTGACGTCCGCACACCTTTCCCATAAAGCGCCGGACGCAGCTATTTTCGGCTTTGCAGGTGCACGGTCTCTCCCCAGTATTCAGAGGGTGTTCCTAGCCCCAGAGCAGCCAGACGCAGTCCGTGGCGATGGGGGAGGCCGAGTTCTAATAAGTCTTCATTTATGCAACAAAACGGGCTGGATGTGGTCCAGTGAACAGTGCGCCCTGTTCTGGATCAAATAGAAACCGTGTCACCAAAAGCAGTACCACAGCGCTCCGTGGCACGTGACACCGCGTGGCGAGGAGTGTTTGGACACTTGGCCACCCCAGGAGGTTCCGCGAAGTGGCTACGGTGTGGGTCTCGGGCTTGCTACCTCCGGTGGGCCAAGGTTGTCCTGCGATCTTCTGTGAGTCCCAAACGAGGCCGTTTATGCAAGAGAGACTTGCTGTGTTTCAGGCACAAATGCCCTGAGGGACACGCAGGTCATGCCAGGGAGGCTGCTGGGCTGGGTGGGGCCTGTGGCAGGCCGAGGGGTGTGCGTCCCACAGGAAGGGGTCAGCGGCCTGTCGGCTCACCAGACCTTGGCCGTCTGGCCTGATTTCTGACTTTCCAGAGAAGCTAGAAATATGGATGTTTTTAATTGTTTAATCTTGGTAGTAACTAATTCAGAAGCTCGTAATATACTTTGCAGGTCAAACAAAATACAGTTGCCTGCTTGCACGTTGTGGTTGGAGGCAGATGTTTGCAGCTGGGCTTGGTTTCTAGGCCCCTCATTTCTCTGGACAGAGGTTCTGAAGGGACTTGACAGAGGGAGGTGGCCCTGCTCCGGGCTTCCCCCAAGACCCACACGTCTGGCCTCAGAGCCAGGGCTGCCTGGAGCCGGTGGGTGAGTCACAGTCCCACGCCCAAGCCCGGGGCCAAGGGCATCCCCGCTCACCAGGGCCGAGGAGCAGCCGTTCACCAAAATCACACAGAGGCCATCAGAGCTCAGGGCCTGAAGCTAAGGGCTGCTGCCGGGGGTGGGATGAACACGTGGGAACTGACCCGCTGCCCCCACGGGTCTCACGGCCAGCCCTGCGTGGGGCCTGAGATCACAGGTGCTTCCTTCCCTGTTTCTGTGTGGATGTGAAACGGCCTCCTTGGGCCGCTCGTGGCCTCTGACCCCGTTGAGGAGGCTCAGCTGGGACAGACGGTGTTGCCCGGAGACCTGAGGGTCTCCTGGGTTACATGAAGGAGCTGTTTGAAGACCCCTCCTTTCAGGGTGCTGTGGTGTGGAGCCGGGGGTGAGCCTGGGCGGCGGCTGCTGGGTGGACCCTCCCCTGGCAGTAACGGGAGCGGAACAGCCTCCGAATGGCGGCGTCCGGCGTCTTCATCTCCCTTGAGCTGGCTTCGAGCCGCAGGCACGGCTCCCACCCTTGGGTGCGTTTTCCAGCCTAGCAGATGTTTCCAGGTTCATTCAGGAGCGTCCCCTGGAGGGGTGGCCCCGTCACCCTGAGCTACGGGACCTCGGAGAGTGTTCCTGGGCGCCGGCTTGTCTGGCCCCTATTTCATGGTCTGTGTGAATCCCTGAGGCCCCATTTCTCATCTCTGAGCAGGTGGAAAGTCCGGCTGTGGCAGCAAAACAGTGACATTTGCGGGGCCGCTGCTCTGCGCCAGCCCCGCAGTAACCAGCATCTCGGGCAGTCGGCGGTTGTGGACCAGCCTGTGCTTGGGGCTTATGTACAGAAGCCTTTATGTTCGTCCCTCCTCACGTGTGGGTTGTAGGACGTGGCGTTCACTGCCATTCCCAGAACCGAGGGAACTGGGGTTTGGAGAAGGAAAGTAGAGACCAGGATCCAGTGTCCCCTTAAGCCCAGGGTGTCCGACCTACCCTCCACCTCCCCCGCCTTCTCCCTTCCTCCTCCCCTGTCAGCCTCCCCGGGGCCTCCCCCCAGCCTCCCCCCAGCCTCCCCCAGCCTCCCCCATCCTCCCCTCGGACCTTCCCGTGCCTCCTCCCAGCCTCCCCCCACCCTCTCCCAACCCCAGCCTCCCCCAACCTCCCCCAGCCTCCCCCAGCCTCCCCCAACCTCCCCCAACCTCCCCCATCCTCCCCTCGGACCTTCCCCAACCTCCCCCATCCTCCCCTCGGACCTTCCCGTGCCTCCTCCAACCTCCCAGCCACCCCCGAACCTCCCCTTGGACATCTCCCTGCCTCCTACCACCGTCCCTGCAACCTCCCGAAACCTCCCCCAGACCTGCCCCAGCCTCTTCCAACCTCCCGGCCTGCCCCCAACCTTCCACCTCACCTCCCCCACCTCTTCCTCCCCAGGCCTCCCTAACCCCCCCCAGCCCCCCACCATGGTGGGCACCCACGTCCCCAGCGTGGCCACGTGGGCTGACTGCAGAGGTCAGGAGACCTCCCATGGTCCTGCAGCGGGCAGAGGAGGTGCCAGGCTCCAGAGCTGCCTCCCAGGACTCTCGGCCCCCAGCCCGTTTGTCGGGGCCCTGCCGTCCCAGCTTGCCCGAAGGCCAAGGCCCCTGACGGATGGGCTGGGCGGGGCTGTGCTGTCACCTGGGGAGGCCGGTGTGACACGTGGGCTGAGTGGGGAGGTGGGGGCCGGGTTACAGCATAGCCAGGAAACAGGCCTGGGAAGCTGCAGTTGGGGAAACTGAGGCCCGGAAAGGAACAGGATGTGTCCAAGGCTGTGGCATCCAGAGGCTGGTCTGGGACTCGGTCTTCCCACAGGGCACGTGGTGGGCGGAGGCAGGGACCCCACACCTCAGGCGGACGAGCGGGTGCGAACCTTTCGCAAACCTCCCAGCTCGGTCCTCTCACCGCCACCCCCCAGGCCAGGTCAGGGCGTTGCCTGGTGCCCAACCTCCTTTGCCGACCAGGGCCTGGGTCTGCCGTTGATCGAGGTCCTGCGCCAGTCACGCCCCTGATGACCTATGGGGGCTGTGCCCAGGGCCTGGGGGACGCACGTTTTTCTTCCCCAAAGGCTGTGGTTTGAATACGAAAGCAGCTGTGGTTCATGACTGCAGCATGAATGAACGAAGATCCATGATTAATAGGTCTCTTTAAAGGCCGGGCACAGCGGCTCGCAGCTGGAATCCCAGCACTTTGGGAGGCCGAGGCAGGCGGATCACTCGAGTCCAGTAGTTCCAGGCCAGCCTGGCCAACATGGTGAAACCCTGACTCTACTAAAAATACAAAAACTAGCCAGGTGTGGTGGCGGGCGCCTGTAATCCCAGCTAGTCAGGAGGCTGAAGCAGGAGAATCGCTTGAACCCGGGAGGTGGAGGTTGCAGTGAGCCAAGATCGCGCCACTGCACTCCAGCCTGGGGGACAGAATGAGAGTCAGTCTCAAAAAAAAAAAAAAAAAAAAAAGTTTTCTTTAATAAAGGACTTTGCTCTGTGCGCTCATCATGGCTTGGTGAGTTCTCAGTACAACGTCTGAATTAGTTAGATGGACGCCGTGTTGCTCCTCTGGGCTGCTGGACGTAAGGTGAGAGGGTGTAGACGAGGGGCCGGCGGTGAGGTGGGGGCCAGGCCTGGGGTGCTGCACCGTGTACGTGGGGCGGGGTAACCGGTGGAAGTTTCAGGGTCTCCATTTCTGGAGATAGACGCTGGAAAGCACGCGCGGCCGGCACATTAGCCCAAGAGCTCCCGGGTGCGTTTGCTTTAGGGTTACATGAAGGTATTTAAGTTCTTTGTTTAAAATTAGCTTTACTGAGATGCAATTCACACGCCAGGCAGTTCTTAAAGTCTGCAGCTCAGTGGTTTTTAGCTCAGAATTGTGCGTATTCATCCCCACAGTCGATTTTAGCCCATTTTCCGTGACTCCACAAAGAAACCCTTCGCCCTTCTGTCGTCGCGCCTCAGCCCCCTTGTCCCCCTCCAGCCCGTCAGACACTGGCCTCCTTTCTGCTGCTTGATATTAGTAAGTTACTTATTCTGGATTTTCATAAAATGGAATCACGCATTGCGTATTCCTTTGTGAGTGACACGTTTCCAAGGCTCTGGGGCCGGTCGCCGTGCAGTCCTTTGTGAGCGGCACGTGGTTCCGTCACCCATCGGTGCTGCAGCACGAGTAGGTGCCTAGCTGTTTTTCACGGCTGAGTAATATTCCACGGTGTGGCTGTTCGTTTGTTCCTCTGTTGACGGGCATTGTGTCCGCTTTTTGACACTCGAAGATAATGTTGCTTTGGACGGCTGTGTGTGAGTTTCTGTGAGGGCAGGTGTTTTCCGCTCTCTTGGATAGATTCCTGGAGCAGCTGCCGGCTCACGTGATAACTGCATTTAGCGGTTTGAGGAACCGGCTGTCCGTTTTCCGCCGCGGCTGCACCATCTTGTAACCCTGCCAGCTCGTTCCCGGGTTCCAGTTTCTCCACCTCCTCGTCAGTGTGTGCTGTTGTCTGTCTTCTGGATGACCCATCCCGGCGGGGGTGGAGAGGTGTTTCGTGGTGGTTTTGACTCGCGCTTTGTGGTGACTAACACTGGAGCGTCTGTCCCTGTGGGCACGGGCCATTTACGTGTCTTCTTTAAAGAAATGTCTATTCAGGGCTTTTGCCATTTTGTTCAGTTAGGTTGTCTTTTTGTCATTAAGTTTTAAGATATCTGGGCCAGGCACGGTGGCTCACGCCTGTAATCCCGGCACTTTGGGAGGCCGAGGCAGGTGGATCATCTGAGGTCAGGAGTTCGAGACCAGCCTGACCCACATGGTGAAACCCCGTCTCTACTAAAAATACAAAATTAGCT